TCAGTATTTTGCATGTAAGCATGTTATTTTATTATATAAAAGACCTGTTATTCACGCTAACAGTCCTATCTTTGATATCAACTTATCCGGATTAGCGTAGTCGTCTTAGGCGCAGGGTGATAATTAGATTACGTAACGGCTGCGAATAGTGGTGGGTAACGAAAGCAAGAGAGACGGAAAGGGAAGCGGCAACAGGTAACAGTAGACAACTATTCAGACTTATCAAGGAAACTGGAATTAAGAATCCGACTGTTAGTTAAACTCTCGGAAAAGGATGAGCATATAATTTATTCTCAATCCAAGAAGTCGGATCGATGGGTAGAACACTTTAGGGATCAGTTAAATTGGCCTTCAGCCACACTTCGGTTACTCACGATCTCCAGTCAATTTGAATGGCAAGTTAATGTGATTCCTCTGACTATGAAGTTGAGAAAGGTACAGAAAATGTGAAGCGAGGGAGAGCAGCGGGTCCTGATGGATTGACCACTGAGATTCTTAAGGATGGTGGTCGAGTTTTAGCAGTTAGATTGACTGAGATCTTAAGTAGAATTTGGGAACTGGGCGTAATCCTATCTGACTGGTCCCAATCACTGATTGTCATAGTCTATAAGAAAGGACGAAAGTCCTCTTGTGATAAACAGTCTAACTAATAGTGTCTAAACTATTAGCCTCAATAATACTTCGACGCCTAACTAGAGTTCGTGAAGAGCAGACTCGAGAGAACCGGACAGGTTTCAGACCTGGACTCAGATATATAGACCAAATATTCATACTTCGATTGGTCCTCGAACATAGACACACATTTCGGTGTCCGGCAATCGTTGCATTTTTTGACCTTAAGGCGACGTTTGATTTTGTTCATCATGAGGTGCTGCGGCACTGTTTGTCATCGAAGGGTAAATCAAAGAAAAACATTAACCTTGTACAGACTCTCTACTCGAACACGACTGGTCGAATCACAACTTATGGTGAACTGTCATCGAAGTCGATTATATCAAGTTATGTTCGTCAGAGTATTCCACTTTCTCCATTCTTATTCAACTTTGTCACTGATATGCTTTTAGAGACGACAGTTTTATCGTTTGACTTTTAGGGTGTCGAAATTCTACCAGAACTGACTGAAAATATGCTGATGACATAGTTCTATCAGGTGAAGATGCTGACAAAATGCTGAGTCTTCTAACCACCTTGAGCAACAATGCAAGCATGTTCGGGATGCGGTTATCCACCTCGAAATGCAAAATTTTACTTCAGGACTGGGTTGCTTCGGCACCTGAACCAGTGATGGGGAGTGAAGTAGTTGAGCATGTTGACCGCTTCACTTCAGTTAACGATATTTCATTTGTTTAATCATAACCCATAACAATCTGGGTACCTTTTTGATTTATGTATAGTGTTTTATTTCATGAACATTGGTTTACTATAATGGCAATATCAAAGCATCTCTATAATTTCTGTATAAGTTATTGTTTGCCTTCACTTCGTGCTTTGGTTATCAATTTCTTATACTCACTAAAAGGATCCATGAATCATCCTACTGAAAATGACCGAATTATGCTCTCCCTTTCTTCACTACTTATTTCCCTTAACTTGCTCTAAAAATTATCATTGTTAATAAGTTGTATCTATTTATAACATTATAACGTTTGTTTTGCATTTATATATCTGACATAATATTTGTGGCTGTTTATTTGTAGATAATGAAAGATATTTTCTTATTCCTCCGTGATTTACCAAGCTTAGTGGAAATTAAAGTCCCAGAAGAGTCTAAGTTTACTGTTTGTGGTGATATACATGGTCAATTTTACGATCTTATGAACATATTCGAAATTAATGGGCTTCCGAGCAAAGATAATCCTTATGTAAGTATTATTACTCTTAGGATTGACTTCTCTAGTTGTTCAATGGTGACTTTGTTGATCGGGGATCGTTTTCGGTGGAATGTATTTTCACTTTGTTCGGGTTTAAGCTTCTTTATCCAGACAAGTTTTATCTTTCCAGAGGTGAGCTGTTTGTATTAAATCAGATATTTTTTGTTCTTATAATTTTCGGCATCATTCACCTATGCATGCGTTTAATTTTCCCCATAGGTAATCATGAATCTGAACACATGAACAGACTTTATGGCTTTGAAGGTGAAGTCAAATCAAAATATTCCTCTGAAGTGGCCAACATGTTCACGGATATATTCAATTGGTTACCTTTATGCCATCTTATTAATGAAAGGATTCTGGTAAGCGCTCTACATAAGTCATTTTTCCATGTTCAAATAATTGTTTATAAGTGGGTTCTTATTTATTTGAGCTAAGTGATTTTGAAGAGACATTTGATTCTCTGTTCTAATCATCTTGTTAAAAACAGAGTCCGGCAATCAAAACTATGACAGAAAATATCAAAACAAATTGATTTTTCTCCATAAACCTATCTGTTTCATTGCTGTCATCCACAGAATATGGATGTGTCTCAGTAATACAAAGACTGGGATTGGTTTGGGCTAGTAAATTACTCATGGCAGTGAATCGTCAAAAATCCCACATAAGCTTATAGCTAAACGAGTAATGATAGCAAATAAAGTCCTACCTATACTAGTATTAAAGCCAGATAATGGTATGTTGGTTCTAATCAGATGTCACTTTGTGAAAGGTCGGGTCTACAGTTTTACAGCATAAAATGTACGTAGTTCACTCCGCCAGTAGAACCTTAGGGGCTACTGCCGGTCCCAAGCCCGGGTAAAGGAGGAGGGTTGGACATGGGGTTGGCGACCCCATTCCGTCAAAAACTAACTTGCCAAAAAAACGCTAACCAGAAAAATTAATTCAAACCATTTTAACCCTGCCCTGGGAGTTGGAGGAAGAATTATGACGTCGCGTGATGAAAGCCGAGTTCCCTCGGAAGTCACGGGGCCGATGCCTCTTCTGACAACCAGAGCAACCATTCTTTTAGGTACATGGAACGTTCGTACATTGTGGGAGACCAATACAAATGTGAAGACAGTTCTACTGTATGGAGCGGAAACATGGAGAACTACCAAAGCCATCATCCAGAAGATACAAGTGTTTATTAACAGCTGTCTACGCAAAATACTTCGTATTCGTTGGCCAGACACCATCAGCAACAACGAACTGTGGGAGAAAACAAACCAGATTCCAGTGGATGAGGAAATCAGGAAGAAGCGGTGGAAGTGGATAGGACACACATTGCGGAAAGCACCGAACTGCGTCACAAGACAAGCCCTCACATGGAACCCTCAAGGCAAAAGGAAAAGAGGAAGGCCAAGGAATACATTTCGCCGAGAAACAGAGAAAGATATGAGGGGAATGAACAAACATTGGACAGAACTGGAGAGAGAAGCCCAGGACAGAGTTGGTTGGAGAAAACTGGTGGGCGGCCTATGCTCCATTGGGGGTAACAGGCGAAAGTAAGTAAGTAAGTAAGTTCACTGATTCATAATGTATAGACATGATAATTGTACCACGCGTTACATAAATAAAACCAAATAAGGTTATTTTAAAAACACCATATATGAATAATTACTGTTCTTTAACTTGTTTAATTTTATTACCTTATTATTTTGTTATGTTTAATAACAACTTTTATTTTCCAAGGAAATATTCATCTGTGAATGTAATGTTATTGTTAGAACTAGTTGTAGTAATAAATAATTCTGTTTAGGGCCAAAAATAATTTAGCAATGCAACTTTTTATATTGAGCTGGAACATAATCCATTCTCGAAGTACAGGTTTTTGTATTCAGTTTTAAGTCACATTGTTTTGTAATACTACTCAACTATCTATCCAAACAGAAGTAAATGGGGTAGGGTTCGCATCTACGACCTACTGGTTGAAAATTACTGCTTCGATCACAGCCATACTGAACTACTTGATTATGCTATCACATTTTATGTTATTAGTCAAGAGTTAGATGTTAATGTAATGTACGAAGAAGTTCAGGCCGGACAGAATATGTATGTTTGGTAAAGACAGTTTATTTAAAAAAATATTTACACATAATCTTCAGACATTCATTTGTAGTATAGCCAGTCAGTTAGTTACAACGTCGAACTTCGTACGTACGTAAGAAGTTGCCATACCACATTAGCACAGAGATGCAATTGTTAATTCAAATCCCATAGTAGTAGAGATAGTAGAAGTATTAGCAGTAATGGAGAAGACTAGGGATCGAAAAAATTATTCAAGAAGTATAATTTAGTGAAATAAATTTAGAAAGTGAAAGATAGAGGTGATGAAGAATGGAGAAGATTGCAGTTTCAGGGAACAGAAAAAGTGGATGCACCTGCACCATTGTAAAAACAATTTTAGGCCATGTCGTTCAAGGTCTCTAACAATCGGTTACTATTGTCTCGCGAACCCCAACCAGGTAGTCTACACTTATCAACATGACTTAGTCCAGTTGTCAGTTACTTCATGGATTTGTGCAATGTTTTGGTTTGGCCGCCCTTAGATTTATTCCAGCCTACCCCTACACTACAAAACATTTCTCGTTGTGGCAGTTGGTGGTTGGGCATGCTTAACACATATTCTAACCACATCAACTGATGAAGTTTCAATACTTCATCTATTGATCTACTATCCCTACTTAGTACTCGTTTCTTAACAACAGCATTGCTTATTCGGTCTTCTTTCACATCTCTTCTGCTCTTCAATATACTCTGATCGCGCCATATATTTCGATCGCTGAACACGCCTCTCTGAAAGCAGTATTTATAGGCGACGTTCCGCTGCATATTACTTTTATGCCACCTTGCGAGTAACATCTATCACATGCTTTTGTTGGCTGATGTTAATTTAGTGTATCACATCCTAGTATAACCCAATTCTTAATATACGAATGATATTTTCACATCAATCGGCGTTATTTACTATCTCAGTGATTATTCATGTTCTTACCGCTTAGTTATTTCTAGATGTAAAATTTTATCAAGAAAATATCCCTCAATATTCTTTTTCATCTCATTTACAATGCTCACAAACTTAATTAGGTTATGCATGGTGGATTGTTTGAACGTGATAATGTTACATTAGATGAAATAAGGAAAGTTTCTCGAGATCGTCAACCTGATGAAGGCACTATAATGTGTGACTTATTGTGGTCTGATCCAATGGAAGCTGAAGGTCGAACTCATTCTAAACGTGGAGTCGGTTGTCAGTTTGGTCCCGATATCACTGAAAAGTTCTGTAAGCAGAATGGTCTAGACTATATTATTAGAAGTCATGAGGTAAGTGCATTGATCGTCAGTTGTTTTTTAAAATGCCCCAAAGTTCCCTAATTTACCCTCAAATTATCTAAAGATTAATTCCTTCCGATCTCTGAATCCTAATATAATATGGTCATTCACTTGGTGAGTATGTAGATCCAGCTCATTTTACTCTTCGCGTATTGATAGTTCCAAAGTGTTTATTGGTGTAGAAGTATTTCAGAGGAAAGCTAAGCCCCGCCTTAGCATCACTCGTTGAGCTCATCAACTGTTCGTCTGCGCTGTTTGTAAATGTAGATCAGCTGGTTAGGATCTGTGTATTAACTACGATCAGTTGCTAGAAAGATAGCTCAGAATCGTCTATAATAGTAAAGATGCATTCATTTTTTTTTATCTCTCTCTGAATCTTGAATTCTAATATTTGTTCATATGTATCTCTCCACTCTCTCTTTTCAAACCCTACTTTCACTACTCAGTCTTTTTCATTTTTATTTCTACTATGTTGTTGTGGTCTCTTTCGCCATACATCTTGTTACTTTCACTTCGTCGTGCTAATACTGTATGGGTTGATGATGACTGACTACATGATCTTGGACAATAACCTCGTGTTCTTGTTAGGATATGTATAGTACTAACTTTGGAAGTGGAATAGACATTTCTTGTTATGCACTGTCGGACTAAATTGTATACTCATAG